GGGTAATATTACATATTCACTTTATTTCGAATAAAATAATTCACCGATGAGTCACAAGTATTTAAAATATTTTCTCGACTTTCGTTAGACACCTGACTCCGGGACCTGACTATCTTTTTCAATGATTTACTCGTAAATGCGCCCATATTTATATTTGCGTAATAATTACGAATGCAACGCATTATCAAGTCGGTAATATTGAAATATTTACAGACCCAATAGCCCAGGTTAGTGTCCCAACAATAATAAAAATAACTTAGTTTGCGTAATTATTATAAAAGTATTACATTGCAAAGTTGAAATATTTAGAGCCCGTCCAATACTGTAAACATATTTGCGTTATTAGAAAAGCAGCACACTAAGTAAACGATGTTGAAATATTCAAAGCCAATACAGAGTTGGATACAAGTTGTGTTATTACAGTACTGCCGGATATGATAACAAATTTACGAGATCGAAGCGCGGACCAAGAAAGAAAAGGGTTGCTAAGGTAACGCGCCAGTTCAGTGCGTGACTTGGGGGTCAAACTTCGGTCAACACACACTTGATGTCAGCATCGCCGCGTAGCAAGTTTCGCAACGTACTTGAAGTTCAATTGTGCCCCAAAATGATGTCGACGATCACTCAATTGTCGCAACGCATGTTGTACCAAGTCCATGATACACCCCGTTTCGACTTTGGCTTGCTTTTTCTTCTTAGTGCATGTTCTTGTTCACGTAAATGCGACCTCTCACCAATGTATTAAAACACTTTGAATTTATACTTATGCGTGATTATATTTGGTCTACGCGAAACATTAATCTTTCTAAACATTTTCTGAGACCTTGGATAAAACGTTTAATAAATGACGAAATACACCATCCCTGGAAATTCTTTGTACAAGACAAAATTAATAAAATTGGAGGGTACATATTATTAAAATGCAACTTCTCAGCCAGACTGCTCTCAGTGAAATTTACGGAATTTATTTTAGATTGTTTAAACATATGGCAAGAAATAAACAAGCATAGAGGAATAGATCAGATTTTATGGAACAATAAATTAATCAAAATTGGGGGAAAATCAATATATTACCGCAAGTTTGATGAACTAGGAATTAGATACATATCTGATCTATACAGTGGTAAAAGAATGAAACCTTGGGTTGATTTTCAGAGGAGAGGTCTAACAATGATTGACAAACTAAAATGGATTGGATTGTGTAACACTATCCCAGAAGAATTAAAACTGGCAAATAATCTGGAACGTAAAGAAATAACAATTAGAGTTGAAAATAAACAAATTCACCTAGAAAATATAACAAGAAAATCTTTAAAAGGAGAGCTAATCAACAGAATTTTTATGAAACCCAGAAGTCAGTCAATAATTGAAAATAGATTCACTGATGTAATAGAATGGAACCAAATGTATAAAATGGTCATCAACTTAACAACAGACACGAAAACCAGAGAATTTC